TGCCTGGGCTGTGAGACTTCATCTATGGCTTTTCTCTTCCCTTTCACAAACCGATCCATCTCCCATTCTAAGTTATGTACTTTGGCTGTTTACTGTTTTATTTATTTTCTTTTTCTGCTGATGGCCCACGCTCGACTTGAAGCAGCGCTGCTAGACTGATGGGTGTGTGTCATCAAAGTACTGCGAGAGCTATAAAAGAGCGTGAATGTCTCCTTATGCTTTCTCTCGCCGTACTTTGATGTCATACACCGATCGATCTTCAATTGAACACCTCTTTACTCTCGCGTATCACGTGACCGCGTGTAATCGCAGCCTCTGCGGTTGAAAAATCGTGATTTTTCATATTGCGATATTATCGCAAATGCAATTAATCATTCAGCCCTACTGTATACTAAGGTCAACAGTTGGCATGGGGAATAACCAGGGAGGAATAGAGGAAATTGATAATGTATTACTGTACTGTAATTGATGTAATACTATATTTCTTGCTTTAGCATCACCTATCCACCCAAAATTTGTAAAATTTGTTTAATTATGTTCCCAGCATTCTTTTAATACACTTTTGACAAGATGTTTTTCATTTTGTCCTTGGAGATTGACCCAGTATGCCATCATTAATTTTAATCTTCTAATTCTGCATTGATGATACCGGAGATGATTTGAATGCCCCACTACAGATTCTCAGGGCATGAGCTTGCAATACATCTAATTCCTTGAGGTTTGATTCTGCTGCTGACATGTAAGCTATACATCCATAGTCAAGAACAGATTTCATGAGTGCCCAATATGTGTTTTGTAGAGATGCTCTACTTGCTCCCCATTCCTGTCCTGATAAACACCGAAGTATTTTGATGACCTTTCCATGTTAATTTTTCATCAAACCAAACCCCAAGAAACCTAACAGCTTCTACTTGCTCCAGTTGTTGCCCATATAGATTCAAAGAAAGGGGTGAGATTTTGTGCCGCCTTGAAAAACAAATAACCTGTGTTTTTCCTACAGATAATTTAAATCCCCATTTATTGGTCCATTTTTCCACTTCATCAATTGCAGCTTGCATTTTTTTATTGACATATTATATATTGCGGCCTCTAATCCACAAAGCCCCATCATCTGCATACAAAGATCTTCCTACGTTTTGTTCAACCTGAGAGAAAATATCATTAATCATTGTTGAATAATAACGGACTACACACGCTACCTTGTGGAGTACCATTCTCCGCCATGTACACTCTGGAATATTCATAACCTACCCTCACTTGTATTTTCCTCCTAAATAAAAAGTCCAAAACCCAATTATATGTTCTAACGTCAATTCCTAATGATTTTAATTTGATCAATAATCCTTTTTTCCAGAGCATATCATACACTTCTCCACATCAAAGAAGACTGCTATTACTACTTCTTTGTTGGTCTGTGCTTTCCTTATGTCTGAGTCAAGGCACAATAGGTCACGGAATGCCAGGAGAAAACAAGGTAGATCCAAATGCAGTAGTTTATTAAAGTAACAAATAATCAGAACAGAACAAAAACTAGACAAAAGGTAATCCAAAACACAGGGAACAGAAAACACGATGTAACCTTGAACAATACTGCAGCAAAGACACAGAGTGAGCATGGTATAAATCAGGGGTGCCCAACCCTGCTCCTGGCGATCGACTGTCCTGCTAAGTTCAGCTCCAACCCTAATCAAACACACCTGAAGCAACTAATTAAGGTCTTCAGGATCACTTAACAATTAAAGGCAGGTGTGTTTGATTAGAGTTGGAGCTAAACTTTGCAGGACAGTCGATCGCCAGGAGCAGGGTTGGGCACCCCTGGTATAAATAGTGATGGGATGACGAGTAAATTACTAACAGGTGATCATGATCAGAACAGAAAGACAAGGCAAAGGACTATGGCAGGGGTGGCGAACGTCGGTCCTGGCGAGCCGCAGCCCTTACCCTCACTTGTATTTTCCTCCTAAATAAAAAGTCCAAAACCCAATTATATGTTCTAACGTCAATTCCTAATGATTTTAATTTGATCAATAATCCTTTTTTCCAGAGCATATCATACACTTCTCCACATCAAAGAAGACTGCTATTACTACTTCTTTGTTGGTCTGTGCTTTCCTTATGTCTGAGTCAAGGCACAATAGGTCACGGAATGCCAGGAGAAAACAAGGTAGATCCAAATGCAGTAGTTTATTAAAGTAACAAATAATCAGAACAGAACAAAAACTAGACAAAAGGTAATCCAAAACACAGGGAACAGAAAACACGATGTAACCTTGAACAATACTGCAGCAAAGACACAGAGTGAGCATGGTATAAATCAGGGGTGCCCAACCCTGCTCCTGGCGATCGACTGTCCTGCTAAGTTCAGCTCCAACCCTAATCAAACACACCTGAAGCAACTAATTAAGGTCCACTCAAAAAAATGAAACCTTGACTTTAATTTTTTTCTTGTCAACAGGTTCCACAAAATTTAATTATGAAAGTTGAAAACAAATATTTCAAGGTTATCCAACTTAATGGGGTTGTTTTAGGGAGAAATAATATTTTTGATTCAAGCCAACTATTATCACTCATTTTTGCTCAACAAGAGACGTTTGAGTTTAACTAAAGTCAGTTATGTTATATGTACTAACAAAATTTGTTTAGAAATTGCATATTACACATTTGTCTATTCAAAGTAAACTAATGATTTTACAACAAAACATTAAATTCAAGCTTAATCAAAATAAAATGCTTTCACCAACTTTAATTTTTACTAGTTAGGTTGAATTAACTTTAGTTTGTCAACAGGTTCCACACAAATTACTTCAGTAAACTCAACATTTGTTAGTTCCTTTATTTCACCAACACAACTGTTTATCAAATTCTGTTTTACAAAAGATAAAAAAAAAGTTAAACATACCCATGAGTGGCAGCATTTAAAGTTGGTTATCTTTACCTAAAAAAACCCCCAAAAAAACCAGCTCTGGACACGCTTTACATGCATGTTACCCAGAACAGTGGCACGTGTCACAAAAACAGAAAAAATATATATAATCTTTCAAGTGTGAATTAAATGGTTTCAAGTGCAAAGCAGGCCTTTATGTCAAATGCCACAAACTTTTAAGTGCTCAATGTTGGTTCACTCATACAGTTTGTTTTTAAGCATCTGTATATGCTTTACATGACAAAACATGTCACCCAGAACAGTGGTGCGTGTCACACAAAGAAAAAAGGTATATAAACTCCCAAGTCGTGAAGCACTTCAACACCCTCAATCACTATTCCAACACCAACTGGAGTGGTGCTGGCATTAATGCTGTAGATGCCAAACACAACTTGCTCAAGGTCCCTCTGGGCAGCACAGCCATCTGAATCCTTTCCACACACAAAAAAGGACAACAATGAAATCACCAGCCAATTACATAATTCCAAAGAGCTCATTTGCATTGCAGTTTTCTCCGTAAATGTTTTAAAATAGTGCTTGATTACTAACTTTTGGTCCAAACTGATTCCTTACAATTTGTACACTCACTGGTCACTTTATTAAGTACACCTGTATGATCTGATGCCATCTAATATAGCAGATCTGCCATAAATTCTACTTTTATAAGATTATAATTTTTCAATTTTTAAGATTAAATTATCAGAAACGTGATTTTGGTCTAGACAAAAATTGCCATTCCTACAAGCCATATCCCACAATGTTAAATGGATATTGTGATATTCTTAAAAGCCCTAGGATACCGTTACTGCTGCAGTAATTGTTAGTATTACCTACCAGATACTCTTTGAAGAGACTGCTTGGATATTCATTTAGATACAAAGTGCCCTGAGGCGGCACTCGCTCTTCTTTTCAACGGTTTCATTCTAAATAGAAAAAAAGCAGCATCAACATACATACTACAAACACACTTCTATAATTATGTGAAATGGGTGAAACTAACTATAATATGTACAATGACCATTTACTTATACAAACATTATCAATGATTATGCAATTAGTCAATTACAGAGTACACTCAAGTAGGGCTGTCACAAGAACTACTTTTTGTTGTGCGATATATTGCACCAAAATATTTTAATTAATTGCGATAAATGAAATTATTGCCATTTTATGCCACTGATTTCATAATGACAGTATAATGATAAAATAGTATAATAATGCAAGTACACTCTTTCAAAGAACATTTTATTCTTAAGAATATTTAGATACTGGAATGAGAAATGTGAACAAATATCTTATCCTAGATAAAAATAAATAAATAAACACCTTTGTTAACAAAAAGTGCACAGTAACAAGAACTAGGACAAAAAGTAACATTAATGGTCAGCAGTTATTTAGTGTTTGGTCAAGCTCATAAATGGGGTCATATTTGAGCTTGACCACAATAATTTCTTTGGCTATATAGCAAGTTACGCTAACTGTGAGTGTGCGCCATTTCACAGTCACGTTTACATTTGCACTGTCGGGAAAAGGCATCTGTATGTCTGCTGTGTTCATACTACACGATGATCGGCGAAAATAGCTCAGACACTACATAGACATCTACTTCACAGTAGAAAGTATCGCAGACAACTCTGTTTGGTCCACAAACTGTGTTTCATAACCAAACGCACGCGAGAAGTGATAAGAAAATAATGCAGGATCACACGTGAGATCAGAGTTCTCGCGAGGGACTGGAAATGTTGCCCTGTGAGAAGTTTGCGATTCAAAATGTTCCCACATTGAAGCTAAAGCTTGTGGCTTGCATTACCTGACACTTTCCTCTCTGTGTGTGTGTGGAGCCGCGCCTGAGCCCTGCCCCCATCTCCGCCACAGAGAGCAGAGGAGATGACAGAGGCAGCACAATGGCATTCATTATGTAAAAATTTGAATAATCTATTTATGATTATAGAAAATTGTCAGTGGCAATATCGCAGCACCAAAAATTATCGCGCTCATTTACATATATCGTGCGATAAGTCAATATTGACCATCACGACAGGCCTACTCTCAAATAGAGAAAAAGAGTGAAAAGGGAAGCTTTTTGGGAAACTGCAGAGTGAATGATCAGTGTGTTGGTGGTACTATGCAATAAGAGTAGTTCTGTTCTTTCTGTTGCTTGTAACTTTGATTGGTCCTTTTGAACGTCAGTACATCAGTTTCCTCAAAATTCTGGTTATTTATCCATAGTGTGTAGTGTAGATACGAAATAGCAATTTGTTTAAAGGGAAAAAATTTGCTGATAATCTCAGAAGCTTTGTAAAATTCAGTCAAAGAAATTTTATATTCATATGGGGTGCATTTGCAGATGTTATTGGTTTCTGACAAATGGCAACACAGACTAGACAAAATGTACTTATTCCTAAATGTGTTCTACAAAGAAGTAAACTATACCTGTGCAGTAGGGGCAAAGGCGAGGTTAATTTTCTTTCCTTTAGATCCACCCATCTTCTTCAGCACTCTGATGAGCTGATCAGCGTGGTGGTCAAATTGTGCAAAAAGCATTGTGACGAGGGGAACAGTGGTAATCCTCAGAAATTCTGCTTCCACCTTTAAATAATGTCCACAAACAACCTGTTATTGGTGTATATTAAAATTTTTGTAAAAAGACCATATGTTAATGTATTTTATAATTCTTTCACACTGTCATTTTATGCATTATATAACATTGATTATGATTGTTTAAAGAAGCAGTTTATACCTCAGGCACAGTGAACAGTCCTGGCCATCTGGTCTTGATCTCTGCAATCATGGGTTTGTCTCGGACTACCTCCTGTCTCTTATACGCAAAGGTCTTGGCCATCCTCTCCTTGATAACTGCATTGTTGTGTCTTTTTTTGACCTCGGACAACAGTGACACTCTTTTGCTTTCAAGGCTTTCCTGGGTCTCTCCAGCAGGATAGGGGGGGGGGCAGAAATTTACTTCTGCCTTTCTGGGTTTTTTAACGTTATAGGCCGGCTGGCACTTATCTGCAGGTTTGTTCTTGAGGGAATTAATGCTCATCTCTGGGCACCCCAAGTTTCTTAGCTTTGTCCTATAGTTGGCCATCTTGTATTTGAGGCTAATTTTCCATCCATAGTAACCACTAGAGGATCCTTGTTCCCTCAAACATGGGTGAGCTTTGATTAAAGCTTCAGCAACAGATTCTATTTCCAAATTTGAAGGATACGCCTTTAACTTAATTATTTGCTCTGCCAGACTTTCCAAGATGTCTGATTTCAGTTTGTGGCTGGGGTTTAGGAGAACTCTGCTTGACATGAAGGCCTGGTTTGCACTTTGAAGTTGCATCTCCACATCATATGGAAACGTAGTTATTTGAAATTCTGTAGGCCACTGTGATCGAGCGGTCGCTGAGTCAGGGGAGGAGAGTATTATTGTATCAGAGGACGAAGATGTGTCTTCACCACTCTGGTTCAAACAGCCTTGACTGACATCTGAAGCATCTGACAATGAGATGACTTTCACTGTACTCTTGTCTTGTATATCACTAATTTGATTAAGGTTAACAAAGTTATCAAAGTCGCTGTCCATGTACTGGAGTCAAATGTCCCCCTCTATATCAAACTGACGTTTGATCTCATTTGAAAGATCCTCCACAGACTTTGGCATGCCCGATTCTATGGTCAGCTTTTCAGCATTATTGGCACCAAAGACAATCCGCAGTTTCACTGGTGCAGCCATCATGCAAATACTTCAAACTAAAAAAAAAAAAAAAAGAATAAAGCCATTGTGTGTATAAAAGGATGAAAATTGGAAAGTCAGCAACTTGTTTGATAAAAACCTGAAACAAATCATAAAGCAAACATGGGCCGTATTCACAAAAGGAAATAGTCTCCCCACAGTAAGCCCTCCTAAATATCATTTGTGTTATAAAATGATCAACTGACGGAAAAAATCCGTCGCAGACTCGCTCCAGTTAACGGAAATCCATCGTAGCGACGGAGAACTTTAATCCATGAACTCTCTCTTACTTTTCTTTTCGCCCAAATAATGGAAATATGCAGCGGACCAACCTGCGCCATGTGGCTAAACTAGCATGCTAACGTCAGCATGTCTAAGACGCTAGAACTCTCTAAAACTAAAGCAAGTCAAAAATAAAGAACATATCTCTTATTACAAAAAAAGATCGATACTGGTGGGAAAACAAATATCCTCCTACCTTTACCAGCAGTTGAAAAGGTAAGACGTCCCTCTGTCAAAACCAATCGAAGAAAAACTTTGCAGGGGGTCACGCAGGTGTGCAGAGTCAAACATCGTTGCGCTCGTGTAGTCGTATGACGCGACTTGCGCTTCTTCTTCTTCTTTGGGGTTTCATGGCAGTTGGCGTCGCACTATACTGCCACCCTCTGGATGTAAGAATTTTTAACTTAACATAAATGGTTTGTGTTTAGACAACGCGTTAGGATTTTGTACTATGGAACGATATTCCGGACAATTTTCAAATAGAATAGCAAATTGTATTTTCAATTGCGTTTTCAATATGTGGACGCATAAATTGTGACATAATCCAAATGCAATTGCAAATCCTGCATTAGCGTTACAGTTAAGTTGAGACATAATTACGTGGACCTTCATAGAAAAAAACATTTCAAGTCAACAAAGACAATTATTATAAGTAAACTGAATATAAATATATTATGTAAAGTGCACAACCTTCCTTGTTCATTTTTTTGAGTGAAGTATGTTATTCTTTCTGTGATCATTCGTGCCATGATTTTGCATAAATGTGAAGTCAAGGCAATTGGTCTGTAACTAGAAGGATCTGATGGGTCTTTCCCTGGTTTAAGAATGGGTACTATTGCTTGTTTCCATACTGAAGGAAGTTGTCCAGTATCCCAAATTTGGTTAAACAGATTTAATATTATTTCTAATGAGTTATCTGTCATGTGTGCCAACATTTTATAACATACCCCATCTTTCCCCCGGAGTAGTCTGTCGAGCACTAAGTATTGCTCTTTTTAACTCAAACATGTTTAATGGTAGGTCTAATGGATTTTCTGACATCTAATTTTTCTTTAAAATATTAGGGTATTCCATTAAGGTTTTATTCCTACTCTGTCTGGCCTCTACTGAAAGATTATCAGAGCTATGAACTTTCAGAAATGTTTGAACTAAAAGTTCAGCCTTTTCTAGGCTGCGAACTGCCATCTTATCTCCATTGTTCATCACTGGCAATTCATAATTTCTTCTGATCCCCCCCATTCTTCTGATCATGCCCCATACATCTGATAGTTGTACTTCTCGTCCAATACTACTGCAATATTGTCTCCAAAATGTACGTTTTTGTATTTTAATTGTTTTCCTTACTATTGCTTGGGCCCTTTTATATTGGATCATAGCCTCCTGAGAATGATGTTTTTTGAGTTGCCTAAATGCTTTATTCCTTGCTTTTATAGCTTCTTTGCGCTCGATATTCCACCAGGGTACACTCTTGGAACATCTAACGCCTGTGCTTTTAGGTATTGTTTCCTCTGCCGATTGAATAATTTCATTAACTAGTTTATTGTTAAAAACATTTATATCCCTCTGATTCTCCTCTCGTAGAGCCACAAATCTTTTCCCACAAATTTCTTTAAAAGCTTCCCAATTTACATTCTCCAGTTTCCATCTAGGAATTACCTTTTCAAAACAAATTTTTATGCCAACTTTAGTCACTATCGGGTAATGGTTGGTCACTCCCTACAGTAGTATCTTTGGACACACTCCATGTGCTGATCCCTGCTATTGAACTAGATATAAATGTCAGGTCAAGTACTGCTTCTGTATTATGAATGTTATTATACCTGGTTCCTTCTCCATTATTAATACATACTAAATATTTATCATCAATAAATTCTTCAATAAGTATGCCATTTGCATCAGTATTATTACTCCCCCACAATGAATTATGTGAACAAAACAGAATATACTATACTGTTTTGTTGTGGTCCCACTACATCTTTTAAAATGCTTTGATTACATTTTTCACATGGATTATAATAATTAATATCTATGTAAACTCTCTCAGTCCATATCTTACTACTAATTGATTCATAATTTGAATTTATTTGTACTACCTTATATTTCATACCATTTTGAATAAATGTTGCTACTCCTCCTCCTCTGCCAAGTTCTCTCTCTCTCATTAACTGTATTATATCCCTTTATAATAAAATCGAATTGTGGGTTTAACCATGTCTCCTGTATACATATTACATTAGGTTTTTCTACTAAATCATCAATATACTTCTTAAACTATTGACCGTTTGCAATTAGACTCCTTGCATTCCACTGTAGAATAATCAGCACCATTAAGATGATCCAGCCCATGTCTGAGAGGATTGTGTTTCTTCATTGAGGGTATCTCTAACTGTTTCCCAGGGCAACCCTTTTACATCTAGAAACTTCTCTGCTGATTTGACAATTATTTTGATCCTTTCATTTCGTCTTTTTGTTTGTGCTGAACAATTGATAATTTCTGCCATAAACAGTACAAAATCATTATTTTTCACTATCAGATTGTCTTCTTTCAACTGATCACATCCTTGACATTTTCCTATTTCTTTGTGCATAATTAAATTTTGTCATTCTCACATTTCCTGAAACCTTATTTGCTGCCTCTGCATAGCTGATTCCCTGAACCTCCTTGATTCTTTGTACTTCAGCCTGCCTCTTACTAACTTCACAGCCACGATACGCTGAGCTATGTTCCCCTCCACAATTACAACATTTCAACTTTGCACCCTCATCACATTTGCTATACTCGTGTTCTTCACTACATTTACCACATCTTTGCTTTCCCTTGCACACCGCCGCCACATGTCCAAATCTCTGACATTTGAAACCTCTAAGTGGAGGAGGCATGTATAAGCCTCACATTGCAACACATGTATCCAATGTATATCTTTCCAGGGAGAGCTTCCTCATCAAAAGTGATAACAAAGGTGCTATCACTTACACTTCCGTTCCTATTTGTTTTTAGACGTTTGACTTCACTTACATTTGTTATATTTTCTTTCACGTCTTCTACCAATATGTTTACCGGGATTCCTGTGACAACCCCTTTTACGAATTTCTTGCCATTAGCCATAGAGCATTCCACTCTCTTTTCATTTATCTTGTTCATTCTGATTACTTTCCCTTGCTGTTTTGCATCCTTACAAATAATCAGCAATTATCAATTTCTTAGAATTCTAGCACTCTTTATTTCACCAATTTCCTTATTTAGCGTTTTTGTCAACCGTATTGGATTCATACCTTCAAACGAGTCTCCTTCATGCATTAGTTTGGCAAACACTAAATATTCATCTCTCTTAGTTTCTATAGTTGATCCCCTGTCAGACTCACTTCCATCCGATTTACTCTGTCGTTTCTTTTTCCGTTCATTATTCCTAACCGTATCCCATTTTTCATAACTCCCGCCACCTACTTCCATCTCTTCTAATTCATTTCCTGAACCGTCACTTCCCTCTGCACACTCCTGTCCATTCACAGTCCAATTGTTGCCAACCGCCTTGGGAGCCAATCGTCTCGCCATCCACCGAGCGCCTTCCGAAAGCCGGTCCTCTCTGGCCTTGTAACCTCGTGATTAGCTGCTGTTCGCACAACACTAGGCTTGTTTGAGATGAGCAAAATCGAGTGGGGGTTCAATCTTCAACTGGCTGGCAGGAGCTGCCACTGACAGGTCATGTGACCTGCCAGTGGCTGGTGGCAGCTGCCAGTCTGATTCTGGCAGCTGCCAGTGGCTGGTGGCCGAGTTACGTTCGACTTCCTCTGATGTCATGCTGACCTGTGCAAAAAACTCTCGTGACGGCGAGGCGGCTGTGTCGGATTGTGCAGTCGAGCGCAGTTGCTCTCCACGGACTGCGCTGACCAAAAGCATGATGGGAAACGACTGACTGACGACACAGATTAATGCTCATTGGTTCAGACAACCGTGATGCTGTGTTCTCGTCTAAAATGTTTTATTTTTTTTTTATCTTGTTCCATGTGATTATGTATTTAAATTATGCATGAATGTTCCCAAACACGATGACAGTGCGATCTCTGTGTGAGATATGTGATTGTTGTTATATCATGTTTATTAGCAACACAGCATGTACGTGAGAATAACGCGATATCTGCCTTTGATCTCGTAGGTATCTTTTCACTTCTAGAGGTCAGAACTGTCCGTCTTGCCCGCGCTTATTTCACTCCTCCCCTCACTGCAGCCGCCTACTCTCGCCTTCATTTCAGGCAAGGCAAGGTGCATCTCAAACAACTCTCCCCTTGTCCAAATACCCACACTTGCGGTCTTGGCCACTTGAGAGCGCGTGCGCACGACAGGAAGTAAGTGCGCAAGACTGTCCCAGGTCTTAAAAATACCAAAGCGCAGTGCCCTTAATGCACACTAAACCCACACTATCTCAAATACTCTTCCAGAGTGACAGTGACGGAAGAGACTGCAAAAGTTCACGAAACCTGCATCGAGTCACTTGAGAAACAGTGTGCACACCTGGAGGCCAAATGTGAAAAACTTAAGGAAAAAACCTGTGACTTAGAGTCAAGATCTCGACGACAAAACATTCAAATTGTCAGTATAAAAGGCGGCACTGAAAATGGTAAACCTACTGAGTTTGACACAAAGCTTCTGGCCAATATGCTGGGCGAGGAGAACTTTGACCGTCCAATTCAGATCGACAGGGCACACCGTTCGCCACAACCACTAAGAGATGGCCGTTCTTGGGCAATTATTGCCCGAATCCATCACTACCAAGTGAAAGAACAAATTTTGCGACTGGCAAGATCGAAACCTCTGCAATACGATGGCAAAGCGATACGTATTGTTGACATCTTGAAACAGAGACAGAAGTTCGACAACATACG